CTCTCTCTCTCTCTCTCTCTCACTCCCACCCACTTAAAAATATATATTGTTACGTACCTTGTTGCTTTGTATGTATGTGTTTTTGTAAAATAAATTGTACAGAATATAGCATACGATTAAAACAATTATATATTCATACATTCTCACAGTTACTTAATAAGAGTAAGTCTTGTCTTATGATTTAATTTCATTGTCTGTTATATAACTTATACAACATATGTTTGTTAAGAAAATAAAATTATTTTAATTAACTAACATTAATTAATAAATATTCCGTACACACATATGGTTTTATTTTTAATTGTGTTTTTAATCTCATTTATATTGAGATAGATTTTAAAATTTTATAGTAAAAACTTATTTAATTAAAAAATAATATTCTAACAAATAACTGAACACTTATTATCTAATAACATATTATATAGCATAGCGGTACTAACAAAATAATGATCATTAAAAGTGTTTGATAGCCCTAAAAGTCTTTTTTGGTTTTTTGCATACAGAATACACACGCATTTAATTGATTACATAATTATTTTGCAAACATTTAATTGAAAAAAAATTAATGAAATTTAAATTTTTAATTTTGTGTTTTCCTCGACAGACAAGAAGTCGTCTGTGTTTACGGCCACGACGTGGTCACCCAATACTAACCGCCGCAACAAAAACATACTCAACAACACGTTTAAGACGGATTTGATTGAACTCAATAACATGGATAGTGTTGTCAATTGTTAGGGCCATAGAGGGTTAGGGTTAGGGCTGGTCTCACACCAGACCCCATACACCCCTTTGTCCCACTTTGAACACCACAATAGGCTTATCACGAAAGCCATTAAAAGCATACTTCCATATATTTGTACACATATTTAGTGTTAAAATGTTTACAGAATTTATTCATGAATATTCTGCTCTTATGTGTTATACATAGGATTTACCACAATAGGCTTATCACGAAAGCCATTAAAAGCATACTTCCATATATTTGTACACATATTTAGTGTTAAAATGTTTACAGAATTTATTCATGAATATTCTGCTCTTATGTGTTATACATAGGATTTGTGTATAAATTAAGTAAAATAATTTAAGTATAATCTTTGCGCATAAAAACTTATCACATATTTATATCATTAATCAAAATATAGCGTTTAATGATAAATATAATAATAACATAAATATTATACATTTTATTATAAAAAAATTAATTTATAAACTAGGATAGAGCCCATGATACCTATAAGTGCTGTAGTGTGTAAAGTGTTGGTCAACCGCTGTTATCGCAATGATAGTCAGACTCCGAGACAGAGATCGTGTGTTTGTTGTCGTAATCGTAAGCGAAGTCTTATTCGGCGCCGGCGTTGAGGCCATCACTGACTGACCACTCGATGAACACTTGGATTTCGTTTCTATTGTTTGCAATTCATACCAATCAGTGCTCCGTTTGGCCTCACGTTTGCGAACAAACTCTTCACCCATTCTAGCAGTCGATGCAAAACCCGTTAATCTCTTAGCCGTCAACTCATTGTCTCATTAGCTTTACCTCTGATTAGCCATAAAGTGGTTGTCATATGAAGAGCCTCTGCGGTCGTCAACGCTTCCATTGAGTCCAATGGCATTCACTTCGATGTCATTGTCTCTGAAATCGACACAATCTTCAAACTCATTGACCAAATCATTGATCCCATTGTCGACAGTCAGAGAGTGGTCTTCACAGTCATCACCATTTGGTTCACTCATCTTATCAAAGAGTTTATGGACTAAAGAATGAGACAAAAAGTGGTTTAAAGAGTGAACAAAATCAATAGGCAATCAAAACTTACTTTTACCGCTTAATCTTGTCATAAAATTCATTTATATTTCAATTCAAGCTTTGAATGAATGAAAGATTGGATTCAAAGAAGCGATGGATTAATGTCTTAATGTTTAGTGAATTTGATCTCAAAATGCAATCAATGTTTGCATCAAATTCTGGACACAAAAGGACTGAAAGTATTTTGCAATTGATTTGTGTTAATGTTTGAAATTTGGTACCATTTATAACAATAGCATATTTTATATAGCATTAAAATGGGACCAATTGTACGGCGACTGATATACAGTAATTGATATTAAATACAACTGTATATAAAACATAAATTTTGTTACATTTTTTTGCCAAAACTTTCAATAAGTGATAATCGTTTCAATTGTTTGCAGTTTAAGCCAATTGTACGCAAAAAGTCGGTAAATAAGTGATAATCGTTACAATTGTTTGCAGTTTAAGCCAATTGTACGCAAAAAGTCGGTAAATAAGTGATATAAAGACATGTCTGAAATCGATTTTAATCTTAATATTAACGACAAACCAATGGATGTGTTGCCAACCGAAGACGTCATCATTGTTGGCACAGTTGCTGCAAGTGGTGCCACATCTGGCGCACCAACCGATGGCCAAACTGTACACAATTTAGACAACTATAAGATTCCACTTAAGACAAAGTCTGCCACCGATTATCAGGAGGAAGAGATTCAACAGATGCGCAAAGCATGTGAGGAGTGGGACAGGTGTGTAATGAATGCCATTTATGTTTAAATATTTAAGTTTTGGTAAATTATGGCAAATGTTTATAAAAGAGGTTTCGTTTATAACTGCAAACGTTTTAATAGATTTAAACGTTAAATGAGTTAATTGTTTGCAATTATTAAGTGTTTTGGTCTTTAGTATAGAAACCGATGTAACGAATCCATTGAAAGCCAAACAACGGATATTTACAAAGTTTTCATTAATTGTTTTAAACAATTGATAAAAATTGTCTTTCGTTTTGATATCCAAATCCAGAGTCAATCGCTTGAGTTGACCACAATTGACACCAATTTGTTTCAATTGATTGGCTTTCAGATGAATGTAAGGCTTGTGTTCATTACAGACAATGATTTTTAATTCAATCAATGCTTTCTTTTGCGACAAACCATTCATTAGTATCTCAATTGAATTATCAGTACTTTTGCCATCGATTTCCACAACAATTGATTTCATCTGATTTTTATAGTTATCGACAAATGTATTGAATTTTTTTTGTCTCGCAGTTTGTTTTCGTCCAAAATATCGGTTCCGCCACCAAAACAAACACATCGAGGATCGCGTGCAGGACAGGACAGGGACCGCATATGGCGTGGCGGAGCCCAACACCACACACGCGGCGGCGGTTATAGTGGCCATCACTCGAGCCGTGGCGGAGCCCAACACCACACACGCGGCGGCGGCTATAGTGGCCATCACTCGAGCCGTGGCGGAGCCCAACACCACACACGCGGCTGCGGCTATAGTGGCCGTCACTCGAGCCATGGCGGACCCTACGGAGAGCAACATCCGAACGTTTACATAGATCGGCGCGTTATTAACATTAACTAAACTAATTTTCACATAATTATTCATTTTATACAATTTTATTGTTCATTAAAACTGACTTTCGGGCCGATTTTGGTTGTAATGCTATTATTAGATTCAATGGATTAGTTTTCAATACTACAATACATTGTATTTCAAATTATAACTTAAGATAATAACATTTCTTTGTGTGAGTACTTAATGTTGATTACAATTTAATTACACACTAATTGTTTCATAGATTTCAATGTATTTAATGTAAGATTTGTCGACAAATACTAAACTATTATTTAATTAATCGGAGACTCATTTGTAAAATGCATTTACTTTTATTAAAAATTCTTATCTCTAAACAATTGTTTTAATTACTGTTTAGTGACGACAACTTCACCACAAAATACTTCTGCAGTTGTCTTAAGCCAATGAGTGGCGTCTGAGCGCCGCTTAGAGTATCAAAAATGCCGACACTTTCGCCCCATTTCTCTAACAAACGGTTCATTCTTTACACTTAGAAAACGTCTTATTCGGCGCCGGCGTTGAGGCCATCACTGTCTGACCACTCGATGAACACTTAGATTGCGTTTCCATTGTTTGCAATTCATACCAATCAGTGCTCCGTTTGGCCTCACGTTTGCTCACAAACTCTTCACCCATTCTAGCAGTCGATGCAAAACCCGTTAATCTCTTAGCCGTCAACTCATTGTCTCATTTCTATCTTTACCTCTGATTAGCCATTAAGTGGTTGTCATCTGAAGAACCTCTGCGGTCGTCAACGCTTCCATTGAGTCCATTGGCGTTCACTTCGATGTCATTGTCTCTCAAATCGACACAATCTTCAAACTCAATGACCAAATCATTGATCCCGTTGTCGACAGTCAGAGAGTGGTCTTCACAGTCATCACCATTTGGTTCACTCTTCTTATCAAAGGGTTTATGGACTAAAAAATAAGACAAATAGTGGTTAAAAGAGTCGACAAAAAGCAAAAGACAATCAAAACTTACTTTTATCGCTAAATCCTTTCATAAAATTCATTTATATTTTTAAAAAAACTTTAAATGAATGAAAGATTGGATTCAAAGAAGCGATGGATTAATGTCTTAATGTTTAGTAAATTTGATCTCAAAATGCAATCAATGTTTACATCAATTTCTGGACACAAAAGGACTGAAAGAATCGAAGCAATGGTTTCAACGCTAAACACAATTCAAATGAAATAACAGTTTGTGTTAACAATACTCTCATCGCTCGCATTAAAGCCATTCATAGACAATAAGTATAACTTTTAGCACTTGTTTTACAGTTTGCACTAAAAATAAATCAATTTAATTGCAAACCATTGTTGAATGAACTACTTTTAATTGTTATGGATTTGTCACAGAATTAATTTAATTAATATATAGGATATTCTTAAACAAAACAAATTTTTCATATAAATTACATATAAAATATAGTAAATGCTTGATATGTGTGTTGTATTTAAAAACTATATAATTGTGTCATAATTTATACAGACAACTAAATTAACTGTCGGTGTGTTTATTATACGAATTTAAACATAAAATAATTAATAATAGCATCGTGAGCTTAACCTTAAACCTTTTTTAATATAAATTTACATGAATGAAAGTTGCGATAAATACTTATTTGTCATTCATTTTGCGATATTTTTAGTGACAATTTAATCGATATATAAAATGTATAAATATATGGCCAGAGATATAAGAAAGCAATGATATATAGCCAGAAATGATGCGATGGGAAAGGGATGGCACGGATGGATAGGAGGGTCGGAATCTCTTTAAAGTAAATGTCATACGCTATCAGAATATTGAAATACTGAATGTCTGGGAGTATATGAAAAGTTTTGCTTTTCAAACATTTATTTAAACTTACCGATATATAATTTGCATTTCCCTATAGTGTATACTTGTTTAACGTTTTGAGTAATATATTAGTGTTCACTTTTGGGAATTATTAAATAGGTTGCCACATAATATTTAATCATATATTTATGTAATTTATTCATTAAGCTCAATATCTTAATTAACTAAAATTGTTTACAGTTGAATTTATTGAATTATGATATAGTTTCACAATGTGTAATAAATGACACTGTTGATTGTGTCATTGTTGTTTTTGTGTGGCATAAGTGAATTGAATCAATTGACCTGGATTGAAAAAAAAACAAAGTACGATGGCGGCCCCTAATGCTAAGCTGGCCCCGCTGGCCCGGTCACGATTTAATATAATATGAATTATTTGCAATGAGAGATCCTTAGATAGAACTAAAGACAAATCACTTCAATAAATAACGTTTAGAGCATAAATAACGTACAAAAAATGTAATACATTTTTAATATTGTAAATAACTTTTTTATCTGATATCCGAATTACGTAAATCCTTCAGATTCTTATTCCTCTCATCAAATCCTTTCCGTTGATATATAATATGACACATATATCAATCAAATAAATTTTTAATTAGAGTAAATTTTCCCGATAAAAGTGGTCACTACTCCGGAACCTGATGTCATAGGGATATAAAGATAACATTTTCAAAGACCCCTAACAATGGTCTATCGTTCCCATATTAAATGGTGACCAGGCCAGCGGGGCCAGCGTTAGCATTAGGGGCCGCCATTGTACTTAAAATTCTATCCATTAGTTTACAGATTAAAGCCATTCTCACTGATCATTGAATCGTAAGTTTTTAGTTTTATTTTTGAAGCTTTACTATTGATTTAAAACTTTTTTATTTAATATCTGTTGGGCTATAATAGTGTTTAGGTTTAGTGTACTGTAAATATCAGTAATACGTATTAATATTCAAACGTGGTATAACCAAATGTGATCCGCATTTTATTACTTGAGGACACAACTGTCCACTCTATCACCACTAGTATAGCTTAATATCTGCTATTTTGATCTCGTTTTAGTGTAAACCCCGAGTGTTTTGAAAGTGGTTTTCATCTAGATTTTGCAATCAACTTTCACCTTTTCACAATTTCTTAACATCTTATTTACCAAAGTATAATAATTCCGGTATTTTTCAGCCAGATTTAATGTTTATCGTCCATTTAATAAGTTATAATCACTTTTACATTGAGTTTAGCATTAAATCTGAGGTACTTTTAATCACATAAAACGTTAAAAGTTTTGACATTTAACTTGGATTTTGTTTTGTTTTTTTGTCAAAGCATTTGTGTTATACTTTTTATTTGTAAATACAATAACATTTGTTTTTGTAATTTGTTTTTACAGGTAATTACAATTGATTGCATTTTGTGTTGAAGTGTTTCTTGTTTTGTGAATTATATTACACAGTGATTAATTATACAAAAATACTTTTAATTAATAAAACCCATATGGTCATATAAATGTAATCATAAAAGAGGGCAAACTTAAGTGATAGACTCTATAGTATAGAACGATTCATTAAATCCAACGACAATGGCGTCAAAGTTTGCCAAACCATTGAGCGATCGACTCTGGGATTCAGTCAAAGACAAAGTAAGACATTACATGACCACTGATTTCGTACAGAAACTGGTAATGACTGGCGATATGAGTGAAGACAACATATTATGGATGCAAAGAATGCAAAAACGGAACGACGAGATAATGTGGGCGACTAATGAGCTGTTCAAAAGGGCCGCCACTTTGGCCACCGGATCCCAAGACAAGCCATTCTTCGACAATTTCGGGACACTATTCGCCGCACAACTACGAGAGCACAGCACAGCCTTCGTTAAGCTCACGGGCAAAATGGACGCCCAGTTGGCCGCCAAACCGATGGACCACTCTATCATAGATCATACCATATTTCTTTTGAATGAGTGTAAAACGGGTTCATTATTACGCGTTGAGGTGGTGTTGTTGACAGGATATTGGCTCTGCGTTGAAATTATACAATACGTGTCCGCACAGCCCAACCATAAGCCCAACGACTTGTGTCGGTTCCTATTGTTCCAAGACTTTGATCTCCAAAGAGTGACCCAAACGTTGAGGGCTTTAGTGGACGCGTATAGTGTGTCGGAGGCCGAGGAGAGCGAGTTGTCAGCACTCGTGGCACACACTTTGGAAGGCGAGATGGCCTTCCGGGCCAGAGAGTAATTTGTTTGATTCAAACAATGATCATGGCACTATTGTTCTATGTAATTTCTTGTAGAATAATAAATATAATGTTTATTGTTTAAAATGAAATAAAAATTTAATCAACACAGTTATTTATTAATGATAGTAAATCGTTAGGGGCAACCGAACGATCCTATAAACCACATGATTCATAGTGAATTGTGGTTAAAAATATTATATTGACTGAGTTTAACATCTTTAAATGAGCAAAATAAATTATATTGAGTTAAAAGTGTAAAATAATTATACAGTAGTTAGACATTATTTATTTCAAAAAAATAATACTAGTTTTTAATGTTTTATAAGTTACTATTTAAAAATTTGCACAATAAATAGTATTTATATATGAATAGACAGTAATTTTGTAATATCAACACTCACTGCGCGGCCGACTGTTTGAAACAAGTTTGCGGTCAACACTTGTCTAGTAATAGATCCAAATACGTATGGCTTTTGATAGGTGTGACCATCGGGTGTGTAATAGTGGCCATCATTTTAATCATAGCACTGATAGTCTACGCGAAGAAGTCATGCATTGAACCAACAGTTCTGTGGCTAATAGTGTCTTCTCAGACATATCCGTAAAAATTACTGAAAAACAAAACTCATATCAGATCTAGAAATGTATAACAAATAATATAGTCTACGCGAAGAAGTCATGCATTGAACCAACAGTTCTGTGGCTAATAGTGTCTTCTCAGACATATCCGTAAAAATTACTGAAAAACAAAACTCATATCAGATCTAGAAATGTATAAAAAATAAATTAACTCACATTTATTGTATTGAATTACTTTGATCATGTTCATTTTAGTCACAACTGTATTAACTCATTGTAAAAGTTAACCAAAATAAACGATTCAAAAACTAAAGATGACCGGCACTTGTGGGTGATGTTATCGGTTAAACTATTATGTTTAAATAAATTATTGATTACTAATAATTAAAAAACTAAACTAAATCTAATCTCAAAAATCAAATACTTTGTAAACTTTTAATTGATTACTGAATAAACAGTTTTAGGT